AAGAAGAGTGAGCAGTGCTGGCTTTCAAATATAAGCAAATTGTGCTGTATTTGTAAGCAGCAGTGCAACTTTGGAGGAAGAAGCCTACTGACAACGGCCTGCGCAGCAAGAGGGGACTGGGTGTTCCCTCCTCCTCTGTCCCAGCATGAAAAATATTAATAATACAAGGGCTTGGGCCCCAGAAAAGCAGTAGTGGATCAGGTCCCTGCTACACTCATTTGCTTTTTCTAATACATTTGTTGGTCATATTCCTACGCACACAGTGCAAGCTTTTGCCTCTTGCAGAGCTAAGGGTCTTGACAATGAGAAGCAGCTACTTGGTTAATATCAAGAGATGCAAAATCCATAGCAATGCTTCCTACAGGAGTGAATTCAAGGCTGGCAACAGCAGTGCTTCCCATACTGCCTGGTACCGGCAGCCCCAGCACCTGTCTTCAGGCAGACAGCAACAACCGTTCCAACAGCCAACACCACGTACAGGCAGTTACTACTGTGCTGTGGCACAGACAGTCAGTAAACTTAAAGGTTTCGGTTGTTTTTTGTTTCAGTTTTTTCTTTTTCCTTTAAGAGAACTGTACTAAAGCTAAAGGCAAACTGCTGTTAAACCATGTGTCAGTAAGTATCGGGCTTTTTTTGACCTAACAAGCACTGAAGTTCATAGAAAATGGAAAATTCCATTCCCCGCCCGATGAGGAGCTCGGGAGTAAGACTGCAGAAATAAGAGTCTCTCTGAAGCATTTTTAAAGACTCTGAACGCATATAGATGTTACTGCTTTTCATCTGTCTCAGAACCGAGACACCCACCCAGAATGATAGGGCAGACAGATAAACTGAATGGCGTCCAAACATTTTGTTACAGATTCGCAATACGTGTAATTATGCTCCTGCTAAACTCTCACAGTGGCACTAAAGACAAGGACTTTAGGGCAGCACACACATTTAAGAAACTATTAAGACCTATCAGCAAAAAGAACAATGTTAGAAACTACTGACAATTTCAGTTCCACTCAACTAATTTGTACCTCTCTTGTATTTAATATCTAATGAATATCTAATGAATACGAATTCAGTAGCCATGAAGTTTTTCTCAAATCTTAACCCTACTGTTAAAGGTAGCTGAGCAAACCTATCACTTGGATATCTTTCCTCTTCCTTTCCCCCATGTAATTTAGCAATTCTTGCTACCGTTGTGGAACTAGTCAGATTTTAAAATCTGGCTCTTTGCATAGAGAGAAACTAAGATGCATTATCAGCTTTGACAAACAGCTGAAGGAATTAATGTTATACAATATGATGTAAAAATACATAAGATGCATTTCACATGGAACTTGACCTCAAAATGTTTTCTTTTGGCTTTTAAGTTACAGGAACATGGAATACCCGCCAGATTGTTATGCAGCTGCATTACCTAGTAAGTTACTCTGCACATGAATTTTAAGTTTTACTAAAAAAAATATTTTACTCTGTTCATGAGTGATCTGATTAGGAAATTCATATAGCTACTAAAAGTTGATTTTATAAAGTCTTATAAATACAGAGAAGCAGAGGATAACAGGGGAAGAGTAGAGCATAGTAGTCTACAAGCAAACAGTTCTCACCAAGTTCACTTTTAACTCTTTCAAACAATTGCCTTTATTCTGCAACAGAAAAAAGGAAAAATTCTTCTCCTGATCGGTGTTTCTGCAGAATCTCCTGCATTTTGGTAAGCAAAGCATGATTCCC